AATAACTACATATAGAATGTAATTTAATAAAGTTAAACATTTTAAGTATATCTTTAAAATATGCTGCTTATCTGCAAAGATATTTATAGATACTCGAATTGCTTGCAAATAGGTGTTCCGATAGTGAAATATTCAAGTAATTTGACATTCATTTCTTTATACTATACGTTAATCATCTAAATAATCAAGGCAAACAGCATATTTACATTATTACAATGATATTTGTTAGGTCAAACAATGTATATACTACTAATTGATACTGTATCAATTAACAGAATATTCGTGTAATAGACATATAGATATGATTGATTCGAACTGTCTTATTTAATGCTAATGAAAATTGTACGATATAATATATAGATTAATGATTAATACGAAAACATCATATAGCTTTACCTTCATATTGGGAGAGTTAAAATAAACTTCACAGAACTTTAATATCATAACATATTCTCCATCTTCACTAATTGGTATATCGTACCCGAAAGTACTGTGATGGTAGCGTTCTGTCTGATATAGTATTTGATCGATAGCATTTACTCGTCCAATGATCAGCTGCTTGCCATAGTCGGATGCTGTACCAACTTTGCCCATTAATGGATCTTTGACATAGCGAATTCCATAACTGTCAGTGTGTGCTTCTCCACCAGAATTTATTCCATATATCACTTCTAAGCCCTGAAAACTTTTCACACAGACGGCGAGAAATAATATTGATATTGTCAACAAATGTACTCCCCATCCCGATGTCATTTTTCTTATTATACAATAAAATGAGGTTCAACTTTCTCCAAGCAACAATGTAATCATAACTTTCCGCTTCTGGATTTGTTCTGACCGGCAACTGAGGTTACAACTGTGATAGAGAAACATTTAAAGTCACCGTTATTACGACGTTATACACGATTAAATGCGCATATTAAAAGAAGAAATTCAAATCAGTTGTATTTAATTTAAATGAAGATAATGCGCACTGTCTGTTGTCAACAAACGTTATGTATCCCTTCGGGACACGACACGCGCTTTTGAACATACGTTCGCTACTGCCACGTTAGGATTACGTGGTCATCGGTGAGTCAGGTTAGGTGCATAGATAGAAACAGCTTTTAATCAAAAACACACAAAATTTCACTGTTTTGATTAAAAAGGCCTGTTAACGTATTCTTAATACCAATAACAATAAGTTAATTTCATTGTGCATAATGTAAACTTATAACATGTGGCGTTAGTATGAACTTTATTTTAACATTTTTAAATATTCTGCAGGAAAGGTGAACCGGTACCATTTAATGTTACCCAACCGTTACCGACCGAGCTTATCTGAAAATGAACATGCTATTAACTAACTAACTGAACTAACTAACTAAAAAAAAC